AGATTTATTTCTTTTAATCAATATATACTAAAGTGCATAAATAAAACATGGCTCTCATAAGGCTAGATGCCTCCGTGTGTATCGGATAGCACTATGAATTTATAGGAACTTTTTGTATTTCGGAAGATAATTCAATAATTCTCAAAGCACTTTATCACGCTGTCTATTCATCTTACGATTTACGGAGTCACGCACTTTTGAAGTACTAGAGCGAGCGTTCATCGAACGGTCATCGAACTCAGAAATTACCAAGTTCGAGGAGCGACACGGCGGCTGCTGACCAAGGGCAGGAAATTCCCGACCTCTCGAGCCGCGGTCGAAGTGGGTGGACGAAGGGGTAGCAGAGGGTCGGAAACAGGTGGGGTAGTGAAAATTTCAGCCCAGTGGTGGCCCGAATTAAGCGTCTAATTGTAAAGGCGACATGTGCGAGGGAACTCCGCTAGCGGGGGTGGCGGCGGAAAGTGGTGCGGCGAGCGCGATGGGGGCGCGTAGGTCGGACGGAGGTGAGAAGGTGGCGGGCGGAGGGGGAGGGGGATGAAGGTAGCAATTAACTTCTCCTCGCGAGATTAGAGCGAGATATTACGAGATATCGAGCGACTTAACGGCAACACGCGAGAGACTTCAAAGGCAGTAATAAACTGCCTCTAATGAACCCCTTATCGCCCGGTGCCACCCCTCCGTGCCCCGTTCCCGCCCTCTTCTTCGTTTCCCTCAGCACCTCCGGCGACCTACCGTCTACGTACGTGCCTCCCTCGACGCGATGCGGGCTGAATCGAGCGCAGAAAATACGCCGTGTTCTCTTCCGCGCGAACGCGATCGGCAGTCTCTTTCTCTGTTATCGTCGTTGTTACTATTATCGCTATACTATTACTCTTGTCGTTCTAATGTTGCCATTATTATCGATGTGAATGAAATCCATGTTTCATCACAATTTCGTCACTCTGTTATTTTCTTTCTTCACTTCAAGCTGAACTTGTATTTCTTTCTAGATTTACAGGATCTAATGTGTACATATATATATATATATATGTGTGTGTGTGTGTGTTTGTATAGATTGTAATCAGTTCAGAGTAATGATGACTACATTAATCTGCGACGACTATATTGATCTTGCTATCACGTTAACGCATTATCGGAATCAGATTAAATTAGCAATCTGATGAAAAGCAAAAGTGGACAAGAAAGAACTCTTTAAGATCAACGAAATGTTCGTTCCAGAAAGGATAGCGAGGATGGCGGAACCAGTTTCTATCCGTTTCTCAGCTCGTTCTCGGCTCGTCGCGGCGCTGCGCCGCGCTACGCGGCATGGCGCGTCGCCGGTCTCCGTCAAGCCCAATCATGTTGATTCAACAAAGTACCTACCTACCAAATTGCTGGAATTTGGTATTCGGCCAGAAAGATGGAGGGAGAAGGAACCATCGGAGCAAGCTAGAGAACTGGAAGCCGTCTGATTGCACATCTAGGACAAACCAGCATCACGACGATGTCGCTCCAGCGGAAAGCCGAGCGATGATTGGCCGCACACACATTCTCTCTCTCTCTCTCTCTCTCTCTCTCTCTCTCTCTCTCTCTCTCTCTCTCTCTTCCCCTTTTCCTCGATCCCTTCAACCCCTCGCGTCCGTACGCCCGAAACCCGATGGCGTCGGGGGCTGGGGGTGATTGGACGCATCTCGGTGATTGTGGCACCCACCGTCCACCCCTCTGCACCCCCTTCACTCTCTCTCTCTCTCTCTCTCTCTCTCTCTCTCTCTCTCTCCCTCCCTCTCTCCTTTCGTTCCGTCCACCGCGCCATCCCTTCTACACGGCTGTAAATCGAGTTTACCCTCTTGCCGTGGCTCAGCCCTTCAATCAAACTGATTGAAACATTCCTTGAATCCAAAAGAAACGAACCGCCATCCCTTCTCTCTCGTCTCTCCAACCTCCCCGCTATCTTTCCGAGTCGCACCGCGCTCGCTATCCTCTCTATCCATCTGTCTATCCACTCGGCCCGCGCGGATATATCCGTCGTTCTCTTTTCGACGAGGCGGTTGCAGCAGACGCTGCTGCCGCGCACAGGAGACACCCGATGGTGTTTCGAGACAACCGGTTGGTTTCAATTCCGACAGTAGTTTGATTGTAAAGCTGCGCAGGATATAAAGCGCTTAGCGTGATATGATGCACCGTGTGTTCCGTAAGAATGTGCTATTGTTGCCTTAAGCGACAGTCATACGCGAAGTCTGATGAACTTTTCATGATATAATCCCACAAGTGCCATCGATTTGGATTCGTCTGTTAAATGTGATTTTTAGATATCGGAAAATGTAAGAGAGCGAAGAAATATATCTACCGTTGTATAATTTTTGTTGTATATATTTTTAAGAGGATCAGAAGGATTTCAATGACCGAAGATTGGGTAAATTTTAAAAATTGTTTGTTTGGACGGACGAACAATTACACATCAATTTTCTTTTTATGTTTTTTAAGACTTCTTTGATAAACAAAATCAGATGCAAAAGTCCAAAAAATATGAATATTTGAGGGAGATATGGGTAATTGAAAGTAACTACGTCATTTACGCACTGCTGTGGTTTTGTCACGATTCCGGATGAACGAGTTGGAATTTTTCAATTTTTTTGGGGCCATTTTGTTCACGAGGTCCCTCTTTATAGTGAATCTGAACGTAAAATAGAAAAAACCATCAAGTTAAAAATAATGGCGGTCAAAAATTTGAAAATATCGAAAAATTCACGTTATTTGCTGTTAAAATGGATCTAAAAATTAATTTTTTCGTATACAAAAAAGTAGGTTCAATTTGCAAACAAATTTATTAATTTTATTTATAAGAAATGAAGTCGATATCTACAATCGTTCTTGAGTTATCGTGGCAAAATCAACGAAAAATACTATTTCGAGAAAAACGCGATAAAAGTTTGAAAAGAAAATTTTTGTTAAAAAATTCATAAATCTTTCAAACTACACTAATAGCAAAAATACACTGTGTATCGAATTCTATCAACCATTCCCTTCTTTAGGATCGAGCATAGCTTTACAGAGAACAGTAGAAATAAATACGAAAGACATCGACAGGAGTCCTTTGTATTTTCATTATCCCTTTCTTCTATTTTTTGGTTCTCCTTAGCTAGATTTTTCGAATTTCTCAACAAAAAAAAAATAAACAGGAAAATATTCTTCAAGAATCACACAACTATCAGAATATGTAAAAAAAAAAAAAACAAAAAATTAAATTTTTCAAAGTATGATTTTAAAACCATTCTGATCCCCTTAAATTCTTCAATCGTTTTATCCCGTCATAATTCATATTTCTTCCTGATAATATCTTCTCTTCTTTGAAATTAGTTTTAAGAAACTAACACTCTCAAATAGTTTACCGCGTTTCATTTTTCAACGAAAGCAAGCGGATGGGCGCCGAGATGGCCGATGTTAGACCCATCCCGACGATGGGGACGTCTCGTAGTCAAATATTGATACTAGGCCGGACTAAATCGTTCGACTATGCCAACAGATTAGGACGTACGTGCACCACGGTTGAGTAATAGCAATCGCGCGATAAGGACAGGACCAACGAAATTGTAATATCAACGCTAGCGTACCGATCGACGCGATCGATAATAAAAATATCTGTTCGTACCTATTAATGTCTCCCCCCTGCCTTTCGCATCTCCGTGTTGCATAATAATATTTTAGCGACGGTATTATGATGAAACGTAGAAACACGAACGGCCGAACGCGCTTAACTGCAGCGTGAAATGCAAGAAATGTCACTCCTCGTGCGGATATAACCGGTTGGTTGAGTAAAAAAAGGACTGACAGTTCCATTACCTCCGGTACGTGCGCGGCCGGGCCAGGTTGTGCCGATCTATTTCGGGGGGACTAACTAAGTTCAGCGTCTGTTTCTCATTAAATTGCGCTCTGACCTCGAATCATCTAAATTTGGAACGGCCACGCCGATTAGGTGCATATTCATATCACAGTGTGGTAATTCCGAAGTCTCAATCATTCATCGATAAACGATCAACATACTATGGATCTGCGTATTGTGTGCGGTAATATCGTATATCATAGGCGAGATAACACTTAGAAATTAATTATAAAGACATATAAAATTTGTTCCATTTTTTTCAAGTATCTAAAGACGTCTCGTCTATCAAAAGACAATTCATGTATTTTTTCTATTGTATTATTACTATTTGTCTTACTTATGTATCGGTATAACTTTACATTTTTTAGATTTACTTCCAATCATCGCTTTAGATCTTCATATATATATATTTTTTTTAATCTCAGATTTTAATTCTACATTCCTAAATCACACGAAGCCTCAGATTTTAAGATTTCTCAGATATATTCAGATATTGTAACGATGTCCGCGTGCTGTACGAAATATATTTTAACAATATAGCGAATAATTGCCATAGGTATTGGAAAAAAGAAGGCAAATATGATTATGACGTAAAACGGCAACTTCCTAGTTCCGCGGCTATTTTGCACGAGAGGAATGTTGATTACACGATATTGGCTCCCAGGAATCTCGGCACGGTATAAACGAACGCGCGGCAAGTACCACGATAAATTAGCCATAATGGCCGCGCACAATAACAGTATTTATTATTAATAACGAAGCGTCGGGCGTTGTTATTAGTTTCAAGAAATTAGACGGCGCCGATTCTCTCTGTCGGCCACGCGGAATCGCGCCTGCGCCGGTAAAGCCGGACTATCCAATGTCTCATCGTCTCATGTTGTGCGACGGAGTACCTAATTTAATGGAAGCGATAATTTCTAATTTATTCATGAGTCACCTTTATCAACTTTTCGACGTGATAAGCGGCGATATGTGAAGAAGAATTCTTCACCGAACGTCTGAGGACGTTCTCCACGTTTACCGAAAAAGGAACTTTTTCATTCTCCTTTCCTTTTTTTTTTCTTCAACTTTCTTGGCTATTTTCCCGTTGATCGATGGATTCGATATATTCGATTCAAGATAAGTTAACAACACGACTCACCGTCTGTAGTCGGCCTTGCAGAGGATCATGCCACTTTTGGTGTAGCAGGACTGGCCGATCTCTCCCAATACTACGTTGCAATACGTGCACTTGAGACAGCCAATGTGCCAATAGCGGTCCATCGCTAGCAACAGCCATCTTTCCACTATTTGTACACCGCAGGCGGCGCATTGCCGAAGGCCCGTTGACCCGCTAGGGACACCTTCTTGCTGTAACATCAAGTTTTCATTTTTCTCACTTTTTCAGTGTATAACATATACTACCTGAAATTCATAAATAGCAGGCTGTAATTTAAATTAATTTGTATCTAGTCTCTAAGGATATAATATGCAGTTTAATTAATTTGTATTAAGTTAAACTTGTTACTACTTGTTTTCTCGAGACAGCAAAAGAGGTGATTGGTTACGAAGTTCGAGTTCTAAAAAAACGATGGCGGACATATTTTTTGAAGAGGACGAGTCGCCATAGAACTTGGGAATCGTTTCTAGCCCATTATAAGTAGAAATTCAAGCATCGTGGTAATTAATGCGAAACAGAAAGTCATTAACGAACACTAAATCATTACGGCGTCTTAAGTGCGCGCTTATTATGAATGCTTACTCGTGATTATGCAAACACACGTAGGCGAACGTAACTCTTGCTAGCGGGATCTACTTGCTCGCTAATTTCACTTTGTGCAACATTGCTCAATATAGTATTGTTAAAAATACTTTAGTTTATCATTAATTCAACGAAACTGCACTGGTCTTGTACGAGTGCAGTTTCGTTGAATTAATGATAAGTTCTTCTTGTAGTTGAATACTAATAAGTTTTCTCTATAACGAGTTCTTCTTCTAATTCTCGATAATTATATTTATTTAAAAAGATGAAAAAAAAATGACACGTGTGTGTATTTTTCTTGTGTATAAAGTATAAAAAAATTTGAAGACAATGTAAAATTAATTGGTTTATCTGTAGTTATTTGTAGAAATATACACACATAAAAAGAAAAGAAACAATTCGGTGATTAAAAACAAGTGTCGATTTCAATACAAGCCAGATGCGCTGTTATTGCAGCTGCAGATGTACACTGAGAGAAAAATATTTGTGACCATAATTGTATGGTAAAATATAGATAATAATTATGGTTAGAAGCTTTATTTTTAAAGTTATTGCTGTTATATTGTTAATAATAATTCTATTTATAACTCTGCCCCAAAAAATATAGAGTTGCTACCGAAAATGACTATAAATTATATAGTTAAATTATGGCAATTGCAACTATTTTTTTTCTCTCAGCGTAGCTATAGATTTCTATGTTAAAAGTACACAAAAATTACACATTGGATACACGCATACTTAACGTGTGTACTTGTATTTGTTACATTCGTATATTTAATATCTATCAACGTAGTAATCCCGTGGTGTAGGATGACTTTCAAATAACAACGTCTGCCCGTGCAGTTATGCGAATAGTCGGACACGGTACGCTACGCGCAACAATATTCATTCGACTTGCGTCACAGAATATGAGAGCGAATGCGTTAATTGCTATTGCGTCGTGTCGACAAGCGTAGTTTTCGAAAAAGATATATTTCCCGCGCGAAAAGAAAAGAAAAGAAAAAAAAAATGTTTTCAACGGCGCATGCAATCTTACTTTGACTTCCGTTTTGATGCCGGAGATCCACTTATTCATCCGTGGCGTAATCGCGTTGTATTGATACGAGTATTGGACCTCCATGACGCACTTCACTGTGTGTGTGTCTCTCGCTCTCTCGCTCTCTCGCTCTCTCTCTCTCTCTCTCGCTCTCTCTCTCTCTCACCGCGGAGCACGAGATAGGAAAAGAAACGGAGCGAAAGAAAAGAAAGGAAAAAAAAGAACAACGACGAAAAACTGATCTCGGGCCGCACTCCGGATTCACTCGGCCAATGATATCACTCGACCTCGAACAAGTTCCCGTTGCGATACACTCACTTTCCCCCACCGCGATTTGCGGGATTTCAAGGATCCGGAGGACCTCGCTTCCCCGTCGAATTTTACACAGTACTACAAAAATCAGAACGAAGCACCTAAGAACCAGACAACTATAAGCGAAGCTTGCCACTTTCGGCGATGCCGTATCCTCGCGTAATGCGGTGCATGGACGTATGTATACAGAAAGGGAATGAGAGGAGAGAAGAGAAGAAACGAAACGAAACGAAACGAAACGAAACGAAGCGAAGCAACGTACAGACGGGACCCAACTGGCTGGTGCTGCGGGCCCCCCGAATGCCTGCGGGCCTGCGCGGGTTCAGGTACCTTGGTCTGAGGGTAGGGAGAATATAAAAAGGCGAGTCTAGAAAAGATCCAACCGACGCTGAAAGAGAAGGCAAGATAAAGACAGAGTGACGGATCAACGAGGCGAGGGGAAGGGAAACAGAGCGGATTGAGAGGGGAGGTGAACGGAGGGACCCATTCGTGTGTCAGACAGAGAGAGACCCAACGACTGGGAAGGGGAGAGAAAGGGGAAGGGGTCTTTTCCATAGCATCGGTTGAGAGAAGAGAATGGTAGGAAGGGGGAGAAAGAAAAAGAGAGAGAGAACAGGAGAGGAACAAAGATAGACAGAGGTGAGAGAGGAATATATTCTGGGACAGGCTTCCTAAGTGCCGTGAGTCTTACAATGTTGTGTAAAGCGAAAGTTGCGGCGAATTTTCAGATACATTACGTATACGTTTATGGAATATAATGGTAAAGAAAGTAAAAAAATGAAGTAGCAGAAAAAAAAGAAGAGATGTAGTATGAAAAACAAATTATGAAAGAAATGCAGAAAGAGACAGGAGATCAAAGCACAGGAATGAAAAAAGAGATGCGAAACAGGATAGAGAAAGAGAAGCAAAATAAAGGATAGAAAAGAAGAAGTAGAAGAGAATCTAAAATTACGGAAAGATATAAAGGTAAAGATAAAAATACGAAAAACATAAGAGAATTTGAGAGAAAAAAATAAGGAGAACGGCAGAAGAGGCGAGGAGAAAATAAAGAGAAGGAATAACGAATAGAGAAGATTCAATATAGAGAAAAAAAGGAGCAATGCGAGAGAAATAAGGACAGGAGTGAGACGGTGACAGTATTGTGAGTGGAACAAGAAATTAGATAAAGAAAGAAGATCCAAAAAAGAATGTATGAATGTACAGTACGCCATTCAAGAATCCAAATAACCGATGGATTCCCATTAACAATTGTGACACCTGATTATTTAAATCACGAAAAAAAAAAAATTTTAGAAAATTTAACAGTATAAAATTTTATAATTTTCAGATGCCTGTAAAAAGTATTTATCTTGATTTCCAAAACAGCCACTATTAATAACGATTCATCCGTTTCTAGATATACAAGAAAGTGACTAGTTATGTAAGAAAGTTTTAAAACATGTAATTTTTTTGTTGATGTCATCCAAGTCAATATGGTATTATCCTCTTCTAATCATAATTGACAAAATAAAATCCTGATTACATTTTTCTCAAAAAGAGAGATATAATTTAAACTGTGGTCGTAACACAATTTCGTTACATACGTTACATACATTTATACAAATAGTAGAGGAAAGCCAAATAATTGGGTGAATTATTTAGAAAATAAGAAAATGTTGCTGTTAAAGAATTTAAACCAGAACGTAGTTGAGAAAAAAAGACTCTATAGTAGCAATCGTCGAAAAACAGTTCACAAAGTAGAGCAACAGATGTATGTACGTCTTTGGGCGTTGGAAACCGGAAGACAGGGTACAGTCAACACAGAAAGGTGAATAAAGAATGAAAGTTGGAGAAGCAATATACTCTGAAAAAGGCAGAACGTTGTGTGATGCAAGGGCAGGGAAGAGACGAAAGGAAAAGGGGCAGGTAAAGCGTCGAGCAGAAAACTGCAAGAGGGAACCGCGCGGGCCCCTCCGCCCCTATTCAATTATATTTCTCCATCATAAATGCCTATATTGTTACGTTTGTCAATGGTGGGGTAAGTGAGGGTCGGACGGATAATACTGTCGAATTGTACCCTGTGACCCTATGTTATACCGTTCTCGAGTCCTTTATGACGAAGTCGGAGGGTCTTGGAATTTTTCACCACTCTTCATCTTTGGAACCACCTGTATCGCTTCACTTCGTCGTACAAGAAAACATTGAATTTCAGATCGTGTGTAATTTAATACGCGCATATAAAAAAATATTAACGAAACACTGATATTTTAAAAATAACCTTCCGAAGACATTAGGAGACACGGTAATGTCTCGGCGCTAACACAAAACGTAGCGTCAATAAATACATAAAATCGGATTTTATGCAAAAATACGATATTCACCTTGAGCGTGCAATTATTGTTGTGATTAACCGGCGGGTACGCGGGATGCCCTGGCATATGGGGATGGGGGTGTCCAGGGTGATGTGGATGATCTGGCATCATGCCGCCACCGCTATGATGATGTCCGTTGCTGCCCATACCCTGTCCAGGTTGTAGGGCACCATAAGGGGTGGCGGGATCGCCGGCACCACCACTATGTTGAGGTGAATGCGGGCTGGGTAAGTCGGGGGTGGTCGTGGTGCCGCCGCCACCGCCACCTCCGCCACCTCCACCGGTCCCATACGCGTGATGCGGCCCGCCGGGCCCTGGATGATGCGGACTGCTCGAGAGCGAGGGATGGTGGGGGTAGGCTGCGGAGTGGCCCGGATGGTGGGGGTTCATGCCAGCGGTTAACGCGCTCGCCAGTTTGACCGATGAGAGGGTGGGCTCAGAGAGCCCACCGACGGTTTCCAACGGCGAAACGAAGAAGAGAGGAGCGGCTGTGCGGCGCTCTATTGCGTCTCGGCACCGGCTCTTTTCTTCCGGTACTTCGGTGAAATCTGTAACAATAAAATAAATATTTTTCAGTTAATTGATTGATAAATCGAGTAAAGTTCTGATACAAATATCGTTGTTTGATACTAAAAACTAGTTCATCATATCGATTATTTTCCTCCTTGATTCTTTTCTTAGCAAATCGACAGTAAAATCTTAATTGTTATATAAATTAAAGACGCATTACAACATATTATATATCTGATACATCCTTAATATCCTTTCTCGTACTTTATCTATCGTTGTTACTATATTCAAAAAATCCTACTTTATTTTTATAACATGATATAAAAATTATAGAATTCAAAATGTAAGGAATTTTAACTATTTGAGAGTGCATTAGAATTCATGAAACAGCCTGAGCTGTTCTTTGTCAAAAGCTTTGAGATCGGCAAGTGTGACCTGTGCGGCACGCCCATCTTAATTAATAGTAATTGTTCATCCCTAGCTCAGCGGGTGTCGACCAACCAACCTTCCATTCCAAACTTTTGTCTACTTGTCCTTTGGGACGCAACAGCGGTCTTTATTTGATCGGCCTTAAGGGCGGATGATATCTTACAGGAATATTCTCTTCTCGTGAGAAGGTGAACGTTAGCCTATAACGGTTTTCTCTAATAACATCTTACGATGTGTGTGTGTGTGTGTGTGTGTGTGTGTGCGCGTGTGTGTGTGTGTGTGTGTACGCATAATAATTAATGAATAATGGAGAAGTAATTATCTTCTTGTAACGACGATCGATAATAAATTCGTCGGTCCGACAATCTCATAAAGAGAGATAAGCGTGTGTAACATTAAAAATTTCTTTGTTATGCAAAAGGGTGCGCTCCGTTTCGATAAATGCGATTCCACTGTACGCGGAGAAAGTAAAACTGTCGGTGCGACCTCGGTGGGAGAAAGTAATTAGCGCGCGCGCGCTGAAGCATATATTATTCCACGATGCAGGCGCACATCGGTACATCGGAACACACTCAGGCTCTTAATACGTATTTAATTAAGTATGCCGTGGTAGAGAGAGCGTAGGAGGACGCGCGGAGGAGGGCGGACGACGGGGGAGTTTATAGTGGATATCAGTATGGGCAACCATAACTCTCTCGCGCCTCCGCCAGCGAGCAGCGTGCCACTTATACGAGCACCTACCGCGATGGAATTTCATCCTCGCCGTTACCACATAAATCTCCGGCGCATTAATGCCTTTACGGACTCGCCCGCTCCGCGTTTCTGCGTGTCGGCTTCTTCTTAATGCGGTTACTTAGGCGCCGCACGCGTGTCGCACGGTGCTCCGTTCACAAGTTTGGGATTTCAGAACTATCGCAAATTATCACATCGATCATCACATTCAATCGTAAATCGAAATAATTGAATCGCGTTAAGATCGCGACCTCATACCAGATCGTGCACCAAACAGCACTGTGGGAATTGTGGGGATTGTCGTTGTCGAACAAGTAAATTAAAAGCATAAGGAACATTTATTCAAATCGGTATCATGAAAATATAGGGTCGGCCTGACAACTTGTAATTTCAAGTGTAGATGCCGATGCTCCCCGTCGTTCGTTATCAGCTCGCTCCCACGCATTTACGAGGCCTGACCTCTCCAGAGACGTTTGCCGTGCTCCTCGCGGAAGCGCGATAGCCGAACGATAACAAGATGATAACGAGGGAATACACCGGTAATTACCGGAATGATAATGACGAGGAGAACGACGAAAGCGCGTGGGTGGGTGGGGGGTGGTGGTGGAAGGCGAAGGAGGAGAACAGCAGAGGGCGATCGGCTGCGATAGGGATAATTAACGATCGCAATCGTACGAAAATGAGGACAGGGCGAGTGCGACGACGACGATAACGAGCGGTCCAGCGATCTTATTAGCGATAAGCGTCGATAACGAGGACGCCCCGTTTCTATACGACAGCGAGCGGAAAGAAAGTCAGCCTAAGGATTAATGGCGATCCTTGTAGTCATTGCGGGGATGGAACATTACATTCCGGATGACATCCAACCCCTTGGTGGCCGGCTTGCCTCAACCGTTTCAAGGTCGCCAACCACATGCTTTTAATATTTTAGACACATGTTACTTAAACACTGTTGGCTAATACCCACATGTATGAAAATAACATTTCGAAATAACATAAGATACAAAACAGCACGGACTTCATTATAGCAAACCCTTTTTTCTTTATTCAGACGAATTCCCCTCGATTCGTCACGGTTTACAGCATCTACGTTCGAATTGAATTTAAATATTTCTTGGACTGACAAACTCTTTCGCGAATTGCCAGATCGTAAAAGTCCTCCTTCGTCATCTCCCCTTGTATGTGCGATCGCATCGTTGGAAATTGCTGTTTCATTGGGATCGGCAGTATTACGAAATCATGTGGTAGGGCGTTGTCTTAAGGACCAATAAAATGGTACAGTTCGGGTAACCCACATGATCCCGCAAAATTAATATCGGCGCTACAATTTCATTCCAAGACGATAACTCATCGTGCGCTTATTTACGAGCAGAGAGCGTACAGACGCGCTTAGAAATCTTCATAAATTTAATGCTAAAATAAGGGATATTATTTTAAAAGATGAACGATAGTCTAACTAGAATGCTATCAGCTTCCTGATTTCATCAGTCATCGATCAGACGTCAAAAAGTGACATAGACAAAATGTTTCAACGTCGCAGCGAAAATTTTTACGCACGCTATTCTACCATCATAGACGAGAAATGCAACCTCAGCGAATTTACATCAAGGTCTGCTTATTAATGTATTATTTTCCTTGATAACTGATAGTTATGTACATATATTCAACATCCCACGGTGTGGGGGAAAAAAGAGCAACTCTGATTATTATTAATAAAAAAAAATATGAGGTTATGCGCTAGTCCTCAAAGAGACTCCGGTAATGATGACCAAGACTCACCCTCGGGCTTTCCATCTTCCAATTCCGCGGCAATAATACGTTACGCGGAAGGTTCAAGAATTCCGCTGTAGCCAGTCGACGACAATAAAATAGAGTATTTTGTATCTCGTAATAAACCTTCAAGTGGCATAATGAACACCCTCGAGTCTGCAAGTGCCGAAACGCGCGTTCTAGAAGTGCGTCAGAACCAATCGACGTAACGGAGGGAGAGAGAGAGAGAGAGAGAAAGAACTCTGAAAGTTACGACTGCTTTGTCGTCGCAAGAACGTCGTGAGAAATTTGTATCCAGAATTCTTGGAAATTTATTGTAAATATTTACAACTACTAATTCGTTTAATTAGCTCGACCACAACTCTATTTAAATAAAGATTCATAATATCCCCACACCGAGAAACAAAATAACGCTCCTATTCCTCCATCTATTTTGTATAATAATAAATTTACACAGAGCTTAGTTATATAGGTAGCTTACAATGTCCTAATTTGCCTTTTCGGGAATATCAAATGTCTTAAGATTATTGCCCTGGTCTCGCACGAAAAAACACGGTCATTCTCTTAGGGCGCGCCCGAGGCGAACGAGGATCGATGTAGGGATGTAATGATAAGTTCAGGCCGGTAATCACAGGCGAGAGAGGGACAGCGACGAGGAAGACACTGAAAATAATCTAATTATTGGCGAGGACGATTATAGTGATTAGGCGCGTCGCGGCGGCCTCTTCCCTGTTTGCCACGCACGGCCCACCTATTATAAGTGTATCCTAGGAGGGGTGTACAAATGAAAAGGCGTGCGCGGGCGCGCGCGTGAATGCGAGCTCTTCTTCCTTCGACGAAGGAAACAGGCGGCAAAGGGAAGAGGAACAACAACGAGGGACCACGGCACGCAATTACTGAGGAATGCAGACGAAGGAAGAAAGCGGCTTTCTTCCATGTATTGGCCCGCCATGTTCACTGAATTTGTTTGACGCAATCCTTACTCTTGGAAATTTCAAATCGGAACAATTCGAGCGTCGAGTTGTTCTTTTGATTCTTCTCGGATCTCTGTTGGAATACTCGCGTAAGTTGAACTTGGTTTCTTGGCTCGTTAAGGATTTTTAAGTTCATTACTCTTTGCGTTTCTTAAATAAGGAGATTCATGGACTGGTAAACTCTTCGTTTTTACGGTCTTGGAACTTGGATTCATAAACCTCGAATAGCACTTGGAGAAAGTTATTGTAACGAGATAAATAGCATGAATATACTTTTGCATGCAGATACGTTTACACAATCCTCAAAGTTAAGAAAAATAAGAGGATAGGTCAATAGATAAAAAAAAAAACAATGATTAGTCAATACAATGTCTCGTATTGACGCTGCCGAAGACTATCGGTCGTTACGGTCGGCTTGAGATTCACGTGGCGCAAAGTAACAAGCTGCCAACGTTGGATATTTATAGGGGCCGTCAAGGGTCAAACCCAGTTTCGCCCAATACGCACAGTTGCCATTCCACATCTTCGCCGCGAGAGGGAGAAGAAGAGAGAGAATAACAGTTTTATATTTTATATTTAATACCTTGTGTGCGCCACGATGCACTCCTGTCCCTGCGGAAACGAGCGGATAGAATTTTCTTCAAAAACTTTTCTCGACCTCGTTGATCGGCGAATAGCCCGCAACAATCTTCCGAGAGATATCATACTTTAATGCAATTCAGGATGATAATCTCCAAATAAAATATATATAATATACATATATGTATTACATCGCTTCTGACATATGTAAGTTTTGCGGATCATTAAAACATACTGCAAGATAATGTTACTGTTCTGAGGTATGTAGTTGATGAAACTTCCCCTTATCCCTCTTCCCATGTGCACAACCACCACGGGAACATGCGAGTGCGCCGCAGTGCGCAATAAAATTAGCGTCTATCGGTCAAGGTAAGTGCGGCGCGCATTAGACAAGGCGGTCGAGCAGCTGAAGATCAGGAAACGTCGGAACCGAGGGTGGAAGGCAGGCGTGGTGGAAGCAGTGGAAGCCTAATTGGCCGAAATTAGCAAGTTTAGTCATTAGTGGAGTTTCCGGCGGCGGTGGCGGTGACGGCGGCGGTGACGACGACGGCGGC